CTTCCTCAAGAAGACTGATTCTCTGCTCTATAATGTTCTTAGAAACAAATATGGAAATGATATTTGGAATGATCCGGTGAAGTGTTATTGTTCTCCTACTTGGAAGATTATTACTACAGGGGCTTTCTTTCTTAGGAACATTGTAAGGTGGAATATCTCTAATGGGAAATCTATTAACTGGATGCTTGACTCTTGGGTCCTTGACAGAAGTTTCTCTAAATGGCCTACATTTGTAAATAGTATTGAATCTTCCAATTACAACTTATGTAATTTTATTTCAGTTGGAGTGTGGAATATAAATCAACTGCAGGTATTCTTTGGAGAACAGCTGGTGGAACTTATCAGTCAAATTCCAATTGCTGTGAACAGTAGATGTGGTCAATTGGAATTGAAAATAAAGAATTCAGAGAAATCTATAGCAGCTTTATCTTTTGAGGCCCTGATGGAATGTAACACAGAGCTTAATCATTGGTCATGGATGAAGAAATTAAAATTGAGACCAAGAGTTGAGCTCTTTTGGTGGAGGCTTTATAATGAAGCGGTTCCTTCGAATGCATTTCTGATGAAAAGAAAATTACGTGGAATAGATGCTTGTCCGAGAGGATGTCACGGAGAAGAAGACTGCTGGCATATAGTAGGAAATTGTGTTAAAATTCAGAATGTTATCAAACTACTGAACGGATGGGGCTTTAATATTCCAGTATTTAAATATTTCAAAAACTGTTTGGATGAGCTTAAGAGGTATGCTGGTTACAAATCCTTTATTGCAAATCTTTACTACACAACTATTTTTCTTATTTGGAAAAGTAGAAGTAAGTTGATACATGAAGTAGTGGAAGACTCAAATATTACCATAGCAGCTAATTCGATTTCTTTGACTCCGGTGAGCAACTTTATCAATCTTTCCTCGTATAATTGGGATGATAACCAGTGCAAGCTGTCCAATTCTTGGCATCCTCCTCCACCCGGGTGGATAAAGATTAATGTAGATGTTGCACTGAAATGTAACAACATGGCTGGAATTGGAGGTGTAGTTAGAGATGAAAAACGTCGGTTTTTGTTAGCATTTGGATTTCGATACGTGCATTGGGATATAGCTCAAGTGGAATTAATGGCTGTGTATTGCTTGAAGAATTTTATGCAAGATTGGATGTATGCAGTTCAAGGTGTGATGATAGAAGGTGATAACTTCAATATCATTAAAGTTCTTCAAGAGAATTTGAAGGATTGGAAGAATAAAGGTAAAATAGAAGATAACTTGGCTTTCTTACAAAATTTGAACCAAGTTTTGTTTTCATTTTGTAATAGAGGGTATAACAAATTAGCATATATTTGTGCTAATTTGGGTGTGAATAACTCCTTTATTTGGTTTGATCTTACAGATGTTTTGATTCCTCCTTCATTCTTTTATTATTTGAAGGAGGAATTTGATGCTTTAGGTTCTTTTAGAGTTGGTTGTATTTTTCTTAGATTTTTAATGCAATCTTGCATTCTTCTCAAAAAAAAACCTAAGAATGCTATGCAAGATTTCCTCTTTGATTATTTGACAAGTTCGATATTCAACATATATTTCATTCTCCAATATGTTGGCATAATAAGTGAGAAAAGTTAATATTCAACATGATACCTAGTTTCATAATAAAAGGAAAGCATATGTTCAAAGAAATGTTATATAATGAGATAGTGGAGGCCAATAGTAAGGCTAAAGCATCAATATACATACTAAATTAATTCTAATTTATGAATCCCTCAATGCTAGCTATACATTTATTTCATACAAACAATAACAATGGGAGATAATCATATTCTCCTAATCATGACTCTCATTTAAACACAACAATATCAAACTAAATTAGGTCATCAATACAACATGCATTATCATATTAACGGAACATCACCCTAGGAGTAAAAGTAATCAATTATGATGCTGACATGAGCCTGTTGGTAAACTAATCAAATGAAAATTTACGTGCTGAAATAGTTATCTCACGACATGAAGTAGATGAAGATCAATCAAACTCACAGATTATGGGGGTTGAAATTATTAAACAAATTATATAATGTTCCATTTCTCAGAATGATGGTGCTTCAAGATTTCAAAAATAAAGTGTTACAGATATCACTATAGACAAGATCAAACTAAATTAGGATGTCCAAACAAAGTAAAACTATACTCATTCAACGCCTCTTTTTGACCAAAACTTGTGAGATGTCCTATTACTTTTAATAATAAACATTATTTTATGATTCAAATTCAATAAAGAATTTAACAAAACTAACAATTATGTTGCTCAAATTAATTTTCCTATAAACCATAAAAGAAAGCTTTTACTAGGCAGTGTATTCTTTAAAGCTAATTTCACTTATCTATTTGCATAAATAAGTATATTAACCATGGATGATAGGAGAGATCCAAACGCTTGAAGTTTTCTAATCTTGAAACAAAGAGGTTTTTGAAGTGAACACATCTCACAACTTTATAGCAAATGGATAAACCCACATTATCAAATATATACATAGAGTAAAAGCCAACAACATCACAATAATACTAAAAAGAAAATAACCATTTAAATGTTTATGTATGCGTGTATGCGTATCTATCTGACATTCATACCTTATACGGATGATACCAAAACAAAAGAAAGAATAAGGAAAATAGCTAGCATGTGATATCTAAGAGATGATATAAAACAATCTTTTTTTATTTGAAATTATAATATCACATCACATATAACTTCTCCAAAACTTAAAGTAGGAGGATACTAAAGCTTAAGATAGATGCATCATCAACATATCATAATACTCGTTCCTTTTCCTAAGCAAAGATAAGGAGAACAAACAACACAGCTCAACATCAATAAGAATAAGGGGGATTTACATACATACCACTTTATTACTTGTGCATTACATATTTAACACCTAATTCTTAAATATTACACCATTACCACCTATTCTCTAATTTCACAACAAATTTACCACTCCGTTAGCAGTGATACCTCTCTCTATTTCCTCTTCTTTCCCGCATGGGCTTTCCACAGGAGAACAAGTTTTTTCCCGTGTTAGCTGCTTTTTTCGAGCATGTATCATTGCAATTTTTTCAAGATTGAATCCCTCCATAGCTGCTCTTCCACGCAACCTACCTTTCCTTCCTGATATGCTTTACCCAGGTGAAATATCTTTTATTTTTTATTCCCGCATTAACATATTTCTATAAATAGGTGAGATTTTCATGGTTTGAATCTTATAACATTACCTAGTCTTTGTCTTTATCTCCCACATGGTGCAAATGGTGATAAAAGGAATAAAGTGAGGTTGTGTTGGCACCAATTAACTCTACCCATTAGTGGACATTTCAGTATTTTTTTGCCCATAGAATAGCCCATACATTATTTTAGAATTTTGTTTCCATGAACAATTATAAATTATTTTAAAATGAAGCAAGTTTGTTATTCTTTTATATTTTAGAATTTCAACAAAAATTAAATGATTTAGTGTTTGATTTGTCATCTTATTTCAGTTTTAAGTTAAGGAAAAATGAGAACCTCGTGGCATAATTTGGTAATGCAGGATTGTGGTAATGAAATAATAGATGATTTATGAGGAGATAAAAAAGTGCATATGTTTATTGCATTTAAATTTGGAGGAAATTGGGTTGACACAAAGGACCAATCTAGAAAGAGGTATACTAGTGGCAAATAAAGGATTGTGAAACTTGAGAAAGGACATATAAATATTTTCAAGATTAGAGCAGAGATTGCTACAATATGTCATTGGTTGAAAGGTCATCAATACAACATGCATTATCATATTAACGGAACATCACCCTAGGAGTAAAAGTAATCAATTACGATGCTGACATGAGCCTGTTGGTAAACTAATCAAATG